TCAACAGGCCAYGCACAGAGAACTGCAAGTGAGGTGATATACCCACAGGGTAAGGCAAAGGAAGAAAGGAAGGGCAAAAATAAAAGTGAAGAATACAGCAGGACGACAGAAAGATGGGTGGGAGGGTGGAAATAAGGGACAGTTGGGAGCAGTGCTCCMAGGACAGAGATATAAGGCACAGCACCTGAAACAGGGACTGCAAGGGATGTGCAGCATATCAGGGCTACCACATTATCACCTCACAAGACTGCAGAATACCAAAATTACTCAGCATGGATGGCTGCAGCCCTGCTGCAACTTGCAAAGCTCCTTTTCCTGCCAGGAGAAGGGTGGAGAGAGCAGGGACAGTGACACACAGATGGGACAGTGTGATGGGAAAGAGGGGATGGAGAGGATTGTGTTGGGAGCAAGAACTGCTGCTTTTAGAAAGTCAGTGCATGCCTACAGGTGGACCAAGGCTGGTAACAAAAAGCAAASTGAGTGGGAAAGATGGGGATTAGACAGGTGAGAAGTGACTCCTGTCCACACCCAGCATCATGAGACCCACATGCCTGTTCACATGAACTCATAGGTGTAGCAGGATGTGCWGCCTAAGTAGGAGTAAAACAGCTCAACCTTTACCATTTGAAAAAGTTATCAGTGGTAGATGGAAAAGAAAGTGTCATGCTGCTTTTGGTATTGAGGAATGCTGAGATCTGTCTGACTTGTCAATCCCAAAATTAAACATTCTGAAAAATCCCAAAATTAAACATTCATAATTTTGCTATCTTCAATACGGTCGATTCAATATTGCTTGAAAAAATAGTACACTATACTAGTAGCTAGTGTTGTAAATAATTGTGATTTAAATCTTTTAGTCTGGTATTATCATCGTCACTAAAATAAATGTTTTATTCATATAAATAAATTTAGTTTGTCACCCTTAAACCTGCAGGACAAAGTTGCATGAAGATTCCATTGTAATAACTTGATCAACCGCTTCTCTCAAAAAAGACTTCCATTTCATAAATTCCATGTTCAAACTAATTAACTACATGCAAATAGGAGGTATTATGAATCACTTGAGTGTCTCAAAAATATTTCTCAATAGCAAGTCACCTCAGTTTAAGAACCCAGCATGATACACACCCAATGCACAAGTATTCTACATATGAGTCATCTGGTAGCCTTTTTGATGAGTCAYAAAAAATTAGTCAGCTTGGAGACTGGGACAAAAAGCCAATATCCTGCTTGGACTAATAAGCTACCAAAGAAATCTGGATGCATGATTACTCTTATGTTCTTTGCCTGGTTCAGCCATTTCCAAAAGCTCTTTGAGGGATTTGTTTTAGTTTGCTATGCAAAGACGCAAGGGAAACCAGAACTTCTGCTTTACACATTGAGAAATGTGCATTAAAGCAACATTTATGGGAAGCTTTCGCTCGCTAAAATCTGGAAAGGTCAAAAGAAGGCTGCAAGAACCAGTATTAGAAATAACCCTGCATTTTATGAAGGTGAGATGAAGGAATGCTGCATTTTAGGCCTTGTCTAAAACCAGGAGTCTAGCAATAGCTTTGATGAAAGAAAGAAAGGCCACAGATATTTGCCCACGCTGTGCCATGGACCTCCTCATGCCCCTTGTCAGTGACTCACTAGGTGAATTTTTAAGTCAGATAACTGTCAAATAGAGATTCCTATTCATTGGAACAGGTATATTCCTGTTTGTTTTCACAGAGAAATCTAATGACTGCTTTRAGATGTGCTTTCCACTGTCAGGTTCCTAAAAGAATAACACAAATCTACGTGTCAGCAAGGGAAGCACTCAGCTATCTAGGGATTGCAAAAGAGAACACAAGGCATCTGCCCCAAAYACAAACAAAACCTCTTTGTGATGATGAAAGAGTAAAATGACAACATTGGGTTCATCACAAATAACATTGTTAATGCAGAAAATTGATTACTTAATGAAAAGGGAAAGGTGTCYAAACTGACAGTACTGGTTACTTGTGAAAACAAAAATTACCACATAATTGTACATAGCACAGACCCTAAATATAAATGTGTTGTTTGGTTGGAAGTAGTTGGTCCTAAMAAATAGAAATTAAAATTATATTAATAATCAGTAAAAAACTGAATTAATCTGATTGGAGAAAACAATCAGAAATGCAGTTAAATGCTATAAATTGTTAGGAAAGGATTTGAGAACAAAATGAAAAGTGTTGTTATGACAACATATAAAGGATTGATTCTGAACTGTAGTTCTGGTGCCCAATCTTGAGAATATAAATTAACCCAGCTATAATATAAAGAAAAGTAAAAAGGACCATCAGTGGTATAGACTGGTTGCCATAAAGGGAGTGATCAAAAATACTGCTCTCTGAAAGAGAAACCTGAGCCAAGGATGCTTTAGCAGGCTCAAAGCCAKGAATGCCAAAGACAAGGTGAACTGGGATGATTGGTCTCTGTTTCTTCCAATACAAGAACTGAGAGGCATCACATAAGACAAGCAGGAGACAAATTCAAAACAAATGCAGGGAGGTAYTTTTGTAGCCAAMAYGTAATTGAGGAGTGAGACTCCCTGACAGAGTGCTGGGGATGCCAGAAACCTGCCCTGTTTTAAAACTGATCATCATAATTAATCATCAGCAAAATTAAAAAAAAAAAAAA